CATCGTCGTCCTATTCCCCGCCTCACCTTCTCCACGCATGCTGCTGCTTCCGCGATGGCCTTTCGCCCCCCCCGCCGTCCATCCCATCCCTCTCCTACCCCTCGTTCCCGTACCCGTTCTTCTTCGATCCTGGGGCCTCAATCCTCGTTCTTTCGATCGTCGTCCTGTGAATCGTGCAGCGCATGCGCATCCCATGTAGCTTGCACAGCAAATCGCCGCGTCTACACTGTCGTTGTTCCTGCTAATGTTGGCATACTCCTCTTGCCATTTGATGCGCGTGGGTTGGGTACGTCGCAGGGTAATTTCTCAGTCAAAGTGCGCCCCTCGACGCTCGCACCCTGTTTATTTGACTGGGAAAGTCATCCAGGCCAAACTGCGCCCCTGGGCTCCCGGCTACAACACCAACGGCTCCCGCCTCAGACGCGCCCAGTGAGGCCCCGCCCCGCCCCCCCAGGAAATAGAACCCCCCAATCGGGGGTACGATCGAAGACGAAGAGGGCGGGTATCCAGGGTTTGGGATATGCGTAGTGAATGACACGCGGGCCGGTAGGAGCGAACAGGCTTGGAACGGTTGTTGTTGTTGCTGTTGCTGTTGCTGTTGCTGTTGCTGTTGCTGTTGAAGTTGTTGAAGTTGTTGAAATTGCTGTTGTTGCTGAGTGCTCATTTCTAAATTACCCTGGCGACGTACCCAACCCCTGCGCAAACGCGGGGCGCAAACGCGGGGTGCAATGAAGGGGGCAATGACGGAACGAGGGTTACATATGTCTGCAGACGGAGTTCGGGACACTCGCAGGACACTGGCTACAGGACAAGGACTAGATAAAGCTGATTAGCTACAATCCCTGAGCAACCCTAGCCACTTCGAAGGCGGGGATCTCAGATCGCAGCCCCCCAGGGATGGCGAGGTCTAATTTGGGTCCGCGCGTGGCGACACTGTGCTGGGCCTCCCAGCAGGCCTCGAAAGTGGCGACAGTTTCACAGATCGCAGCCCCCCAGGGATGGCGAGGTCTAACTTGAATCTGCGTGTGGCGTCACTGTGCTGGGCCCCCCAGCAGGCCTCGAAAGTCGCGACAGTTTCACAGATCGCAGCCCCCCCAGGGATGGCGAGGTCTAATTTGAATCTGCGTGTGGCGTCACTGTGCTGGGCCCCCCAGCAGGCCTCGAAAGTGGCGACAGCTTTCACAGATCGCAGCCCCCCAGGGATGGCGAGGTCTAAGTTGAGTCCGCGGTGATTGCCCACTGTGTTGGGCCCCCCAACAGGCTTCGAAAGTGGCGATAGTTTCACAGACCGCAGCCCCCCAGTGATGGCGAGGTCTAATTTGAGCCCGCAGTGAGTACCCATTGTGCTGGGCCCCCCAGCAGGCCTCGAAAGTGGCGACAGTTTCACAGATCGCAGCCCCCCAGGGATGGCGAGGTCTAATTTGGGTCCGCCCGTCGCCCTCACTGTGCTGGGCCCCCCAGCAGGCCTCGAAAGTGGCGACAGTTTCACAGATCGCAGCCCCCCCAGGGATGGCGAGGTCTAATTTGAACCCGCGCGTCGCCCTCACTGTGCTGGGCCCCCCAGCAGGCTTCGAAAATGGCGACAGTTTCACAGATCGCAGCCCCCCAGGGATGGCGAGGTCTAATTTGAATTCGCGCGTCGCCCCACTGTGCTGGGCCCCCCAGCAGGCTTCGAAAATGGCGACAGTTTCACAGATCGCAGCCCCCCAGGGATGGCGAGGTCTAATTTGAATCTGCGCGTCGCCCTCAGTGTGCTGAGCCCCCAAGCAGGCCTCGAAAGTGGCGACGACTCACAGATCGCAGCCCCCCAGGGATGGCGAGGTCTAATTTGAATCTGCGCGTCGCCCTCACTGTGCTGGGCCCCCCAGCAGGCCTCGAAAATGGCGACAGCTTCACAGATCGCAGCCCCCCAGTGATGGCGAGGTCTAATTTGAATTTGCGCGTCGCCCCCACTGTGCTGGGCCCCCCAGCAGGCCTCGAAAGTGGCGACCGTTTCACAGATCGCAGCCCCACAGGGATGGCGAGGTCAAATTTGAATCCGCGCGTCGCCCTCACTGTGCTGAGCCCCCAGCAGGCCTCGAAAATGGCGACAGTTTCACAGATCGCAGCCCCCCCAGGGATGGCGATGCCTAATTTGAATATGCGCGTCGCCCTCACTGTGCTGGGCCCCCCAGCAGGCCTCGAAAATGGCGATAGTTTCACAGATCGCAGCCCACCCAGGGATGGCGAGGTCTCATTTGAATCTGCGCGTCGCCCTCACTGTGCTGAGCCCCCCAGCAGGCCCCGAAAACGGCGACAGTTTCACAGATCGCAGCCCCCCGCAGGCAAGACAGGAAGAGGCAGGGAGGGAGGGAGGAGGAGGAAGGAAGGAGTGGAGACCACACTGCTCTATTCAAAACGAATACCCGACCAAGGAGGGTTGGGAAAAAATAGCCCTGGCGACGTACCCAACCCCTGCGCAAAAGCGGGACCAAATAGTTTAGGATATTTTATAAGGGGGCGATGACGGAGCGAGGGTTACATATGTCTGCAGACGGAATTCGGGAGACTCGCAGGACATTGGTTACAGGAAAAGGGCTTGATAAAGCTGATGAGTTACAATTCCTGAGCACTCCTAGCCACTTCGAAAACGGGGATCACAGCAGGCCTCGAAAATGGCGACAGTTTCACAGATCGCAGCCCCCCAGGGATGGCGAGGTCTCATTCGGGTCCGCGCGTGGCGTCACTGTGCTGGGCCCCCCAGCAGGCCTCGAAAGTGGCGACAGTTTCACAGATCGCAGCCTCCAGGGGATGGCGAGGTCTCATTTGAATCTGCCCGTGGCGTCGCTGCGCTGGCCCCCCCCAGCAGGCCTCGAAAGTGACGACAGTTTCACAGATCGCAGCCCCCAAGGGATGGCGAGGTCTCGTTTGAATATGCCCGTGGCGTAACTGCGCAGGGCCCCCCAGCAGGCCTCGAAAGTGGCGACAGTTTCACAGATCGCAGCCCCCCCAGAGACGGCGAAGTCTAATTCGAATCCGCGCGTGGCCCTCACTGCGCTGGGCCGCCCAGCAGGCCTCGAAAATGGCAATTGTTTCACAGATCGCAGCCCCCCAGGGATGGCGAGGTCTCATTTGAATTTGCCTGTGGCGTCACTGTGCTGGGCCCCCCAGCAGGCCTCGAAAGTGGCGACAGTTTCACAGATCGCAACCCCCCAGGGATAGCGAGGTCTCATTTGAATCTGCCCGTGGCCCTCACTGTGCTGGGCCCCCCAGCAGGCCTCGAAAATGGCGACAGTTTCACAGATCGCACCCCCCCAGGGATGGCGAGGTCTTATTTGAATCTGCCCGTGGCGTCACTGTGCTGGGCCCCCCAGCAGGCCTCGAAAGTGGCGACAGTTTCACAGATCGCAGCCCCCCAAAAATGGCGAGGTCTCATTTGAATCTGCCCGTGGCCCTCACTGTGCTGGGCCCCCCAGCAGGCTTCTAAAATGGCTGCAGCTTCACAGATCGCAGCCCCCAGGGATGGCGAGGTCTCATTTGAATCCGCGCGTCGCCCTCACTGTGCTGAGCCCCCCAGCAGGCCTCGAAAACGGCGACAGTTTCACAGATCGCAGCCCCCCAGGGATGGCGAGGTCTAATTTGAATTTGCGCGTCGCCCTCACTGCGCTGGGCCCCCAGCAGGCCTCGAAAATGGCGACAGTTTCACAGATCGCAGCCCCCCGGGGATGGCGAGGTCTAATTTGAATTTGCGCGTCGCCCTCACTGTGCTGAGCCCCCCAGCAGGCCTCGAAAATGGCGACATTTTCACAGATCGCAGCCCACCCAGGGATGGCGAGGTCTCATTTGATCTGCGCGTCGCCCTCACTGTGCTGGGCCCCCCAGCAGGCCTCGAAAATGGCGACAGTTTCACAGATCGCAGCCCCCCAGGGATGGCGAGGTCTAATTTGAATCTGCGCGTCGCCCTCACTGTGCTGGGCCCCCCAGCAGACCTCGAAAATGGCGACAGTTTCACAGATCGCAGCCCCCCGCAGGCAAGACAGGAAGAGGCAGGGAGGGAGGAGGAGGAGGAAGGAAGGAGTGGAGACCACACTGCTCTATTCAAAACGAATACCCGACCACGGAGGGTTGGGAACAATCATTGCTGATCATTGGAAACGGTTCCACGTGCTCTCGCCTCGACGCCAGCTACAGTTTATCCGAAAACGAGGCTACCGCTCGAGCAAATGTGGACCCTTGGAGGCCCAGCTACGACAACGACGGCTCCCGCTCGATACGTCCTGACAATTTACCCCGAGACACCCTGGCCAGAGAGGCCCCCGAACTCAAGAACGGCGCTCTCGCTCAAGACTTCTTCGTAATTCAGTTAAGTTGGCGGAGGCCCAGCCACGACGACAAGGGCTCCTGCTCGATACTTGCTCACGATTTACCCGAGAGCCAAGAAGGCCCCCAAACTCAGGAACGGCGCTCTCGCTCGAGAGTTTCCCGTAATTCAGGCAAGTTGGTGGAGGCCCGGAAACGGCGACAAGGGCTCCCATTCGAAATTTCTCCGTAGGTATTCCGTGAGCCCCTGGCCAGAGAGGCCCCCGAACTCAGGATCGGCGCTCTCAATCGAGACTTCTTCGCACTTCAGTCAGTGGCCGACAAGGAAGAGATTCCCCCCGAAAGGGGGCGCAATCGAAGACAAAGTGAGCGGGTATCGAGGGTTGGGGTATACGGAATGCAAGACACGCGTGCCAGTAAGAGCGAACAGTCTCAAATTGATTGTTGTTGCTGTTGCTGCTGCTGCTGCTGCTGTCGTTGTTGTTGTCGTCGTCGTCGTCCTCCCCCCCACGACCCACCTGCGACCCACCCCGCGACCCACCCAGCTCCAGCCCCCGTCGCTCTCCCAACCACCTGGTGGGGATTGGCCCCACGAAACCCGAAGAGAACAGCGCAGTTATGTCCCCACCTAGGAGGGGGAGATCGCCCAGTGGGGCCAGGGCCGTGCCAGTGGAGACGGTGATCGCCTAAACGATGCTCAGGCGCAGGGCCCCCCCTCGCCGAGGCCGCCTGGGAGGCGACACAGGAGATGGGCGAGGTCCTGCTCGTCCCGCCCGGCTGGTGGCAGCAGGCGGCCTACGAGGACCGCAGCCTCCAGGTGTCGGGGGCGGCAAAGAGGGGGGTGATGACTAGGGGGGGGGGGATATCACGGCGGGGGCCATGATATCTCCCGTGATTTCATGGCGCCTCTTCTTATTTCAATACGTTCCCTGGCCCCTCCCTGGGCCGCGCACATGCCGCCGGCCATGATTTGCACCCCCCCTCTTGGACGCCCCCCTCTTTGCCGCTCCCGAAGGTGGTGGGCTTGCACTGCACGGAGGCCGCACTGCCCCGGATCGCGGAGGCCGCCTGCGCCCGCCTGGGCGTCGCGGCGGAGCCCGGGCACCGCCCGGAGGAGCTCCTGCGCCGCGCTGCCGCGGAGGCGGCCGGCCGGGCGACGCCGCGACCAGTGCTGCAGCGCGGCTTGCTGCGCGGCCCGAGAAAACGACGCGAAGATCGGGACAAAATCGGATCGGGATAACTCGAAATCTCTGAGAATCGGCGGGTTTGGAGGATGTATTGGGCGCCGCGGCCGCTCCAGAGCGTTCCGGAACGCTCTGAGAGCGCTCCGGAACGCTCTGGAGCGATTTATCCCGACCCTAGCCCTGTTTTAGCCCGAAGAGCGGGAGGAGGAAAAGGTACCCATACCTCTACCCTTCCCTCGTTTTCCCCCTTTGGGGGGCCTCCCAGGCGGCCCTCGTCGCCACCGCTGGATTCGCCCCGAAAGCCTGGTCAGAACGCACCGCGGGAAAGGTCTGGGGAGTAGCGGTACAGTTGGGGCCCTGAAGAGGGAACCCTTTTCGTTGGGGAGGGGCTCCGCGTTCCTTAAGTGTTTCGCAGTTTGCCTCAGTTTTTCCTTATGTTTTCGATCGGAAATCGAAGTTTAACTTATGGAACAAAGGGGCCTCGTTCCTTAATTTTTGGTTCCTTAGGTCAAGGCCCCGACTGTATCGGTACCTTTTGGTCTCCCCAGAGAGTGGGAGGAGGAGCAGCAGCAGGAGCAGGGTGGCAGCACCCTTGACTGGGTCCCACTGCCAGCAGCGCCAGCGCCATCGGCAGCAGCGGCAGGGGGGAGCCTGGAGGTCTGGAGGAGGAGCCCGGGGGAGCAGGAGCGGGGGGGGCGGGGAGGAGCAGGAGCAGGACCGGGAGGGGGTGCAGGTGCAGCTGCTCGTTGCTTGCCTTGCCTAGCCTCTGCTTGATCCCCGGCGAGCGTCGGCGCGACAGTCTCGATTGTAGCTGCGACGCGCCAGCACCCAGGTGGCTCAGCGTCCAACTCAACACCGCGGAAGAAGAGGAAGGTCTCCAGAGCCTCCACTCTGCGAGTGTAAGGGTCGTGACCTGTGGAGCGGTGGTTGGTGGCAACCCGTGCGCCCCATGCGGTTCCATTCGTGAGTCCAACCTTCTCCCACTCAATTACCTCGTTGGCTAGGGCGTGCTGAGCCTTGCCGATCGCTCCTGGCGACCGCGGAGTACTGTCGGAGGGGCAGCCTCCACTGCCAACACATGGCGTTGCGGAGGGGTGGTGGGCGGGGGGCGATCCTCCCCGTCCCAGCGGCGACGGGGCAAGGGTCTTGCAGGGCGCATTGGGGGACGCGCCTGGTTCACTCCGCAGCCGTCTGGCCAAAATGCTGCCACTCCTTGAGCAAAGCCGGGCTTCGGCCGCAGGGGGATCCGATTCTGCATGTCACAATCAGGCTGCGAGCTCATCTCCGGGCTTGCCGGCCGCACCGCTTGGGCCGAGCTTTGCAGCTCTTTTGGAGCGAGCGGCCACAATCTCGGGGGTCACCGTTGACACCGCGCTGCTGCGTGGCCGCCTCCATCGTGGGGGCGCGACTGGTGAAGATGCTTCCATTGATGTATATGCATGTGTACATATTTTTCTATATATATATATATAGTTATAGTTATGCATAAGTGCATATATACACATATATGTATATATACATATATGTGTGTGTGTGCAGGGAGCGGGTCCCCTCTCCTATCCTTTCCCGCCGCCCATCTCCAATCCTCCCTCGTTCTCCGTTACTGCTCCTTCTACTTTACTCCGACCTCCTCGGTCCCCTCTTCTCGTTTCGCCCTCCTGTGCTTTCCCTCCACCCTCATCCTGTGCTCATCTTCGAGTTCACCTCCCAATCCTTCCTCCACCACGCACCTCCTGTCCAGTCAGGCCGCAGAGGGGGAGAGAGAGAGGAGGAGAAGGAGGAGGAGGAAGAGGAGAGCGAGAGAGGAGAACAGCAAGGAAGAGAAGAACGGAGGAGGGATGAGCAAGGAGGGCAGAGGTGGAGTGGCGATGATGAAGAGGAGGAGGAGGAGAAGGAGAAGGAGAAGGAGAAGGAGAAGGAGAAGGAGAAGGAGGAGGAAAAGAGAGAGAGAGAGAGTGAGAGGAGGACGAGAGGAGGAGGAGGAGGAGGAGGAGGAGGAGGAGGGGGAGGAGGGCGCCGGGTCGTAGAGGTCGAGGAAGGGTCAAGTTAGTATAGATGGTGGACGTTGTATTCGAATGTGCGCGAGGCCAAGGGGAGACCCAAATACGGTGGGGGGCGTTGGTTAAGGAATGTGCCAAGGAGGCTGCAGACCCTGGAGAATTCCTTATCTGATGAGGGAGGCGGCAATATCCATGGCCGATCCACGATTGGAGTTCCACTGGCTTCCAGACCCTGGAGTCCTTATCGAAGGGTTCCTTGTCCAATGCCCCCCACCGTCCTGGAAAGGACTCGCCGTCCACTCGCGCAGCTAGGAGGACCACCTGGAAGCCGAGTGCGCACGGCGCCAGGGCGAGCGCCCCTGTTTGAAAACGGCCCGCCCTCTATCTGTTGTTGAGATGTGTAAAACGATGGAGTGCGACACCAGCAAAGCAAGAGCCTCAGTGTAAAAACCGTTCGAGGTCCACGCGTCAAAGAGATCTGAACTCCTCTGTTCCTCGAGGCCACCTGCGGCGGCGAGGGCGATGAAGATGAGGATGTGGATGCTGTTGCTGCTGGTGGCGACGGCGAACCTGGGAGCCCTTGGGGAAGGATTATAGCATATGGGAGCTCCTGGGAGCGTCCGGAAGCGATTGGGGCAGCCTGGGGAACGCGTGGGTCCTAAAGCGGAGTCGGCGGGAGGTGCCCGAAACGCACCGATGTATAATGTACGTGTTACCGATGCATTGGTGTTGTCAGCCCGAACTCGTCGGGGCCAGGAGAGCGGGTCGATCTTGAGGATCAGTTGATGCGCACCAAATACAGTTGTTCACATAGGATGGTGAGGGTTGAGTCTGAGTGTTCAACGACTTGTACGTGTTGCTTAGGATGGTGAGGCTGGGCTGGATGGACGCGCACCGGATGGCATTTGTTACACAGGGTGGTGAAGGCTGGGTCGTATGCGTGTACACCAAGAAATGCATGTGTTGCATGGGATGGTGAGGGCTAGTTCACATGGGTGCAGAAAAGTCGCTGCACCATGGTAAGGCTTGGCTCGTACGGATGTGCGCCGAGAAGAAGACGTTTACATAAAATTGTGAAGTTGGTTCGAATGGATGTGAGTAGCATCGTATGTTCTGAATAGGATGGTGACGGTTGGGACGGGTGGATGTGCAACGAAGAGTGTAAGTTGCAAGTGATGGTGGGGGCTGGGTCGCATGGATGTGCGCGACGCAAAACCCAGAACCATCTTCTGAAAACGAAGAGGCGTCTTTCCCTGAAACTGTCACAAGAGTTAAAGACGAGTGCGCGCGACGCTAAAGCGAGAGTAACACGTTGAAAACCACCCAAGCGCCATTTCGGAAACTACTGCAAGTGTGCAAGACGAATGTGTGCGGCTCTACGGCGAGGGACACATCTGAAAACAACCTGGGTTCCATCTTCGGAAACCGTCCTTATCGGCGGAGAAGTATCAATCGAAACGCCCGGCCTGGCCTACGGACACGTCTGGTGATGCGACAGGGAGGGGTTCTGTATAAGGGAAAAGATTGGAGGCGGAGGAGGGAGAAACAGGGGAAAGATGAGGAGGAGGAGGAAGAGGAGGAAAGGGACCTTGAGAAGGCATACGAGTACGTGTCGTTGAATTCGATTTGGTATATGGATGTTTTGCAACAGGTGCCAGTGGGAGTCCTGGCCTTGTCCTTGGATTGGAGTGTGTCGCATTCCCGGGGATGATGCGCAAAGGTCAGGCTGTCGCCAACCAGGTGTGCACGCTGGTAGGGTTCCCTGCAGGCTCTAAGTTCGCCAATCGTTTCTTGAAGGTGGTGCTGTACCCGATCCTGGACCTGGTGCAGGTGTGGTCGGGGGCCATGGACAACATAGCCGTCCGCGTCGCCAGCAACAACAAGCAGTTAAACAGAGTCTTCCCAGAGGTCGTCGCCATGCTGACCCGGTTCCTGAAGCACGTCATGCCGATGAAGGTGTCCACGGGCCAACAAAGGAAGTCGAAGTACGTCACCAGCTCCGAGGGATTGGCCAGCGAGTCCAAGCCAGAAATGAAGAAGCATGGTGTGAGACAGTCGGGGATTGAAAGGTGGCTGGGCGTGGACTACCAACCAGAAGGGCGACGGAGGAACGTCACCCGTGACAAGAGGATGCGCGTCGCCAGAGGGAGATGGGTGAAGGCAGCGGCTTCAAAATGGCGCGGAGTCTGAGTACGGCCATTCACCCAGCAACGCTCAAGACTTCCATTGCTTGCGGATCTTCTTGCAGGGGTTCGACGGTTTCGGTCATGTCTTTTGAGGAGCAGAAGTGCCGTGCAGTTCGTGCTGTCAGTTCTGGTGCGCCGGGATGGGCGGTCGCATCTCGCACAGACGGCGCAGAACAGCCACGATTGGCCCCCAAAAAAGTCTGGGCCCAGGAGAGGCACAAGCTGACGGCGCAAGCGTGGAGAAAGCAGTTTACTGGCATCAAGCACGCGCCGGCAGTGGCACCCAGCGGCTTCGACGTGTAAAAAGTGGCGAGAGGACCCGCAGGAGCTGCGATGGCCACGAAACACGAGCTGAGCTGGGAGATAACGGACCCGTGGCACATCAAACGGGGCGAAGTGGCAGAGTGCGTCGACGTCCGCCTTGTGCCGCCTTTGGAGCTGATCCGAATGGCAGAGAGGTCCATCAAGTCCAAGAGACCCTCTGACTGGGCCCACGCAACGGATGAGAGATCGTCTTTGAGACCAGCGCCATGGCTACTTCCCTTTCAGCAGGTCGTGGGCGCCAGGACGGACGACCAGAACTGGGCGAGACACCATGTCAATGCATTCGGACGGCGATGCTGGGAGGATGCCCATCTCAAACGCATTGCTTCTAAACGGGCCAGGTCGACTCAGACATCTGCCCGCTCTGCGAGGAGGCGCCAGGCTCCGTGCTGCACGTGTACTACAAGTGCGAGGCGGAGGTGTTCGCTGACGCGCGCAAGCACCTCACTGGCCCGAATCGGAAAACAAGGTTCAGAGACATCGCCCAGCCAGGCATCACAGACGCTAGTAAGGGATCGGATGCCGGTAAGATGAAGAAGGCGCGAAGGCTCGTTGCTAATAACGTATTTGGTGTTGTGCTGCCCGTTCTTCCAGACCCCTTCCATATCGGTGACGAGGACGCCCTGCCTTTTCTTTCGAGTTGGGATGCCACGCATGGGAGCGTCCTGAACCCTGACATTGGGCAGCTGCCTGTAGGCAGTGTTGCGGCGATGTCTTGGGGCGCCGACAAGACTTCGAAGGCCAGGGCGATATGTTCGCCCCGTCCCGATTGCCCGCCCGACCCCAGCCTTTTGTGAAAGTTCGGCCGTACTGCAGGTCGTCAAACATTTTTGGTCGGCCTCGAGGGGCTCATCATACATAGTAAGCAGACAAACTGTTGATGGGCTCCTCAAAGGAAGACCTTACTGCGTGGCGTCTGATCGGATCATGGCACATCCCTGGCGTCGAGTGTAGAATGTTTTGGACGACGGGGGGCAGATTCGTGGCCAGCTGCAAAAATAAAGTCCCACATGGCTGCTCCTCAGCGGCGGGCCCTGGGGCCCCTGGGGGCCCGACACTATCTCATGAATAAGGCGGCGGACAAGCGCGCAAGGGAAGTGGTTGAGCCCTACGCCCCGCCACACTGGAAGGTCGAGCAAGCGAGGAACGAACGCCTGTAAGTTCCAGCGTCGGATCCTCAGATACGCCAGTTGCTTGACGGTCAAACTCAGCAGCAGTAAGGTGGCGACCACCTCCCTTCCGCCATCGCCCAGTCGGTTTTGGAGAGATAAACGTTGTCGCTGCACAGCCGTGGTTCGTGACCGTGGGTTTGGCCACCAGTTTAAGCTGCTCGAGGGAGGCCAGTGGCAGTGTTGCGGATGCACTAGGTTGGTCAAATTTGCTGCCAGGCTCGCACTTGCTAAGCACGAAAGCACGAAACCTGTCCTGGCTGGGAGGAGAGGGGGGGGGGGGGCAATTTCCAAGGGGGGAGTGCGTCTTCAGTCCAAGGCCTTTCTTCGGGGAAGGGGGCTGCTTGACGCCGCGCGGAGTCAGGTTTCAGAGGCCGCCCGTAAAACTGAACCCCCCGTCCAAGCCCAACCCGACCCCTCCACGGGAGCATGGTGTCGTGGAAAGGGTGGGGTATGTTGTTTGTAGAATGCGTGCGGTTTTCGCCCGATCCCGTGCCCAGAGGCTGCTTCGGGAGCGCGACGGCCCTTTACGTAAAAAAGTGCCCGCCCATGAGAGTAAGCAGCGCTATAGGGACCGAATCTTAGATGGACGGGACCCGTTACACGGGTTTGCCCACGAATGACGAGTGAGCGTCGTCGGTATCCATCCCTAAGCGATCTTTGTTCGGGAGTGTGCTCCGACATTTTGTTTTCCCGATCCCATCCCTAAGGGACCAACTCGCTCGGGAAAGGGGTCCTTCGCCAAGCTGATGTGCGGTTCAGAGGCCCACCTGCATAGCCCCCCAGTCAAAAAGAGGAGGAGGAGGCGGAGGAGGAGGAGGAAGAGGAGGAAGAAGAATATGAGAGAGGAGGAGGAGCAGGAGGAGGAGGAGGAGGAGGGAGCAGGAAAGAGGAGAGAGAAGAGGAGGAGTAGACAGGGGAGGAGGAGGAGGAGGAGGAGGAGGAGGGAGCAGAGAGGAGGAGAGGAGGAAGGAGGAGAGAGGAGGAAACACGTGCCGGCGCCTTGCCACCAGGAGTTGGCGGCGTTGCGCCACATTTGGTTGCCGGCCGAGGCCTTCACCCGCCATTCTGACATTTTGTGTGGGCAGGGTGACGGCAGGATAGCGGAGATGTTCTTTTCCTCGTCGTTGTCTTGCTCGTTCTCCCCGTGGTCCTGCGTTTTTTCCTTCTCTTCCTCGTCCTCTTCCTCGTCCTCCTCATCATCATCGTCATCATCATCATCATCACCATAATCATCCTCATCATCACCGTCATCATCATCGTCTTTATCATCATCAGCATCATCATCGTCGTCGTTGTTGTCGTTGTCACCCCATCATCATTATGTATCATCACCACCACCATCGCCATGATCGTCGTTTCATCCTCCTCGTCCTCCTCCCCCGCCTCCTCATCCTCCTTCTCCTCCTCTTCCTTAGACGTGTCAGTAGGGCGGGCCAGGCGTTTCGCCTGAGGTTGCATCACCGTGTATGATCCTTAAGCTGAACATTTGCAACATATTGACGAATGGAGTATGAAATGTTGCAAGAGCTTCACGGATGGAGGGCGAGTGTATGGTCGACATGTGGTTCTCGCATTAGCGCCGCGCAGGATCGTCTTAAGAGCGTGCGACAAGTTCAAGGATTCGCATGGTTGACGTCCCGGACATTGTGTTTCGGCACGGTGTGGGATTATAGGGCGCAGCAGTGACATGGGTTCATTGTGTTGAAGTCCCAGGAATGGTTTGTTGGCACGATCCAAGAACGCCAGGACGCAACAGTAACGTTGACTCGCGGCGTTGAAGTCCCAGGAATGTTGTTCTGGCACGGTTCAGGACTTTCAAACAATTGTTTTCCAATTGCGCAAGTCCCTCAGTGAAAATGAATCCTCGTATGGAACCTAGGAAGAGGGAAGTTAGACGGAGGATGTATCGCAACATCGTCGATGAGTCTTGGGCTTAGGCTGGTCCTCCTCCTCATCATCATCCTCCAACTCCTCCGCATCGTCCTCCTCCCCCTCCTCCTCCTCCTCCTCCCCCATCCCTGCCCTCTCCCCGTGAAAGTCTGATCACAGGCCCTCTGAGTGCAAAAGGAAGTGTCTTAGATGGTTCGGGTCGGGCATCCTGGCCACCGCTGACGAATTGTGGGAACATGCTTGTCCGCAAATGTTAACCGAACCTTGATGTCTCCGTCTGTCGATCGTAAGCCCCGCGGTTCCCCCAGCTACGTCCCCTTAGCTTAGCGTTGTTTATATCATCTTAGCTTAGCTTATTTCATCTTAGCTTAGCTTAGCTTCATCTTAGCTCAGGTTTATCTTAGCTTAGCTTACCGTCATCTTAGCTTCGCTGAGCTTTAGCATAGCAGAGCACAGCATAGCATAGCATAGCGTAGCATGGCATAGCGCAGCATGGCATATCATAGCATAGCCCAGCATAGCATAGCATAGCGCAGCATAGCAGAGCATAGCATAGCGCAGCACAGCACAGCACAGCATAGCACAGTGCAGCATAGCAGAGCAGAGCAGAGCATAGCATAGCATATCGCAGCACAGCACAGCACAGCACAGCACAGCATAGCACAGCGCAGCATAGCATAGCAGAGCATAGCATAGCATAGCATAGCGCAGCATAGCATAGCATAGCATAGCGCAGCATAGCATGGCATAGCATAGCATAGCGTAGCATGGCAACTATAATGCTGCTTTCCTAGGGGCTCCAACTTCTAAGTAGGGTCGCACTGGGGTAATCGTTTCTGTGGTTCCCTACCTAGGCTCTGCCTAGAAGGGTTCTTACTCTCTGGGCTTAAAGGGGCCGGGCAGTGGAAAGCGCCCCGGGCGGTTCCCCCAGTATCCGCCCCGCGGTTCCCCCAGCTACGTCCCCTTAGCTTAGCTTTGCGTATCTTACCTTAGCCTAGCTTAGCTTAGCCTAGCCTAGCTTAGCTTAGCCTAGCCTAGCTTACTTCAGTTTAGTTTAGCTCAGCTTAGCTTAGCGCAGCGCAGCGCAGCATTAGCATAGCATAGCATAGCATACAATAGCATAGCATAGCATAGCATAGCGCAGCATACCATAGCGCAGCATTGCATAGCATAACGTAGCATAGCGTAGCATAGCTTAGCTTAGCATAGCACAGCGCAGCATAGCATATCATAGCATAGCATAGCATAGCGCAGCATAGCATAGCATAGCCTAGCCTAGCCTAGCCCAGCATAGCATTTCGCAGCATAGCATAGCAGAGCAGAGCAAAGCAGAGCAGAGCATAGCATAGCATAGCATAGCGCAGCACAGCATCCACTATTGCTGCTGCTATGTATATATGGCGTCTCCCCGAGTAGCTTATACTGAGTGGTTCCCGTGGAACGTTCGGCGCAGCCGACCCCAAGGGGGTCATCCGCAGTTTGCTTGGATCAAAGGGCGCACTGGTGTTCGCCAGCGCGCTCTGTGGGCTGCGCAGCGGGCCGCGGCCGCCCGGCGCCGCCGGGGGCGCTCCCGTGGAGGGACAGCCTGCGCGCCGTGATGGCTGGCGGCGGCGTGGCCTGAGATGGCCGGGCTCTGGATCAACTCGGAGCTCGACTCCGACGCCCTGGAGAGGGTGGCGTTGCGGCCCGGCACGCTGCTGCAGGTGGGCGTGCTGGACGACTCATGGGCCAGCCAGGGATCCGAGCTCGTCTGCGTCGAGCGCGCCTGGAGGCCCACTGGCGGCGGCGTGCTGGTGGAGTTTCAGCACATCGCCGCGTCGGACGCGTACTTCGAGTGGTACGCCTCGGCGGTCGGGGAAGCGAGCGCTCGAGCGGCCGACACGCTGCTGCACATCTGCGCCGTGCCCGCGCGGGAGT